CTTTCCCTCAAAGGAGCCAAGTAGAAGAGGACACCTGCAGATGCCTTGTCCCATCTTCAGCATCTCCGCTCACGTTTTTGCTCTATTTGTGCTTTTACATTGCTCTCCCAAAGACTATTAATAGCAGGTAGTCCTGAGCACTTCTGCCCAGGCGTTAATTCTCTTCCCCTACTGCAGGGTATGAAAGTGGGTTGATTGTCTGCGGGCTGTCTCTGGCCCTGTGCTAACATGATAGAAGGAGCGTTCCCTCTGCTAGAGACAAAACGTTCCCTTACAGGCATGTCTAGCTGGAAAACTATTTCAGCTGCATCAGACCCATAGCCCTTTCCCCTTTTGCTAATTGGGTAGGAGCTGCTGAGTATGAGCTCTTGGGGCAGCAACACCATTGCTTGAGGGGAGGGAGCCCAGCGGGTGCCACTGTGAGGCTTGTTAGCGCTGCGTGAGGGAGCCCCACTGGCTCCTCTGCATTTGGCGACTCTCCCAGCAGTTTCTCCACAAAGTGCCTTCTCTGCCCTCTCTAAGGTTTGTAAGCAGGGCTCCACCCCAAGTACCTCTCCCACTCAGGAGCTTAGGAAGATGCTGTCTGCAAGAACAGCTTTCCCACTCACAACCAGTCCCATAGCACCTTGCAGCACCCTGGCCTCAGGCAACCAGCAAGAGGGCCCAGGCAAGTGTAGGAATCGCTCATGGTGAAGATGAGCCACTAACGCTTCCTCATACTGAACATTAGAAGACAGCAGCAAAATGACTTCCGCAAGCTTCTTAACTGAACCCTGTAGGTTGGAACCACATTTGAATACTAGATGTTAGACAACTGAAGCATCTTTCCTAATTTTTTTGGTAAACTGCTAAGTTTTGTAGGGATAGATGCTCACCTGCAGCTTTTCCCTTCAGCTTTGAAGCCAGCCAAGCAGTGGGTACTAGCCAGAACAGGAACTAATGCTGGAGTTAGAGGGCTTTTGATTTTTTCAAACATATCTGATCTTTCCTTTATAAATGAACTCACAAGCTAATTATTTCAAATAAACTTTTGAATAAGAAAGCCTTTTAGCAACTCTGGCAGGGCAACATATGCAATCATTTTGCAGCTATCTCAGGTTAAAAAAAAAAAGTAAAACCTCAGCAGGGAAAAAAAAAAAACAAAAAAAATACACTCCCTACAGTGAGCTGCTTCTGCTTAGACACTGTTCAGGCATCTATGCCTCGTTGCCTGTTTTCACTCGCACTTGTACAGGGAGGGAAGGAGCACATGTTGTGGGTGGGTGCATGCTGCTGCCGGAGCAGCCATGGGGACATGGTGAGAGGAAGAACGTCACAGGCAAGCCACTGCTGCTCCCACCACGCAGGCAGGGGCTGAGGGAGCCAAGCGTTCCCACCTTAGGGAGGAAAAAGCAACTCCACCCTCCTCTCCCCCCCTCTCACCGCGGAGGCTGGTGGAGCTGAAGGACCACCTGGCCGTAGTGGCAGGCACAGGGGGAGGGGTCCTTGTCTTCAAGCAGGGGTGAGAACACACCCATGACTTTGGCTTGCTATGAAGCCCTGGGACCAACACCAGCAGAAGCTCTCATGTTGGGGCTCGGGCACCTGAGGAAACACCAGGGCCGGCTTTGGGCTCCCTGCTCTAATCCTAAACATGCCAGGGCCCACTCACCCTGAGCACTGGGGCTGCAGGCAAAGAGCTGCACCCTAGCCCCCCTCTCCAGGAGCTTCAGGCCTGGCAATGCCTGAGGCCTCCCAGGAGGAGGATGGAGGATTTTAATTAATCCCTGCTCTGAGATGGTGGGGGGACAGCTTGCAGTCCCTGCCCCAGACCATCCTCCTCCATCCCACCCTCCTCTCCAGCTCTGCAACAGCCACCGGGACCTCAAGTTCTGGGCAAGCTGAGGGCAGACGCAGAGCTGCACAGTGCTGGAAGGAGGAGCAGGAGGATATCTCCTCCCCTTTTCCCTCACATCCTAACCTCTAGGGCAGGGAATGAAGAGATGAAGCTTGGCACAAGCCCAGCACAAACTGCAGGTAAACAGAGGCAGGAGGCTGGGAACAGAGAGCAGGCACTGTAGAAAGGCAACACATTTAAACCTAGCCCAAACCGGGCTGCTCTCAGCACCTGCCCCACAGCAGTGCAGCATTTTAGTAATTAAAAAACCACAAAAACAAAACAAACCCCTGAAACTGCTGTGACAGGAACATGCATTCAAAGCCCAGGAACGCCAGTGTCTGCTCCTCCTCAGGGAGCAGGCATGAAGCAACTTTTCCCCTGGGGGTTCAAGTTGGTCCTACAAACCCAGCTGAAGCTGGGCTCTGCTCCTCTGGGCAACATCCTCTAGAGACGGACAAGCCCTTCCCACCCCAACCAGCCCCCTGCACTCACCCCCAGCACCAGCCCTGCCTCTAAAAAAAGAGCTGTTCAAGGGCCAAACCTAGGCCTGAGAGCTTCTCATCCCTTCCCTTCAGGGCAGCTCAAGCAAAATCTCACCGTTTCTCTTTTATTTTATATTCCATAAAAAACCCCCACAGAAAATTACACAGCCTTGGCTGAGAACAGCTGCTGGGCACAGCTGCACAGCACAACTCCAGGGATGGGATAATCGTTGTCGTCAGTGTCAGAATAAAAAGTAAACCCAACAGCTCTCTTCCATAGGTAGCAAAAAGACCGACACCACAAATCACAGGAAGAAGAAAAAAAAAAAAGAAAGAGTAAAAGTTTCCTCTTAAAAATATAGCTCTGTGAAGAGAAAGAGATGGCTGGGTGTCAACTAGGAGGAAAGCAGTTTATGCAAGCTGGCTCTTCTCTGGTCAAACTGCCTCCTTTAGTTCAGTTATAGTGCAACAGGTGAGCCATCAGGAGGGGCGATAAAACACTTCTCCAGGCCCCAGCAGGACAGGAGGAGGCAGAAAGTTACACCACTCTGCTCTAAAAGTCACAGTTAAAAGAAGGAGTTATAAATTACTATTAAAAAAAAAGTTGGAATTCTCCTGATGGGCTTCTTTTTCCTCTCTTCTGCTTGATCTTCACTCATAAATCCTTAATCACAGGGATACGGTACCTTTGAGGAAAGGAGTTAAGAGTTAGCGAGAAGGAGAAGAGGAATGGCCTACAGCACAGTGGGAGTAGATTCATCTGGTCCACTTCCAGGTGGCTACAAAATCACCATCTAATCCACATTACTTTTCCAAGCTCCCTGTGGTCAGCAGGGACTGACAGACACTGTCAGAGGTCACTTATCTCTGCTGATGGCAGAGGACATCAACATCTAGGCTGGATATCCAGTTTGCAGCAGCTAAAGAGATAGTTGAGAACAACCACACCCACAGAAGCCAGCACACTGCTGTTCGACTTTCCTTACACTGCTCCACTCCCTGTCCCTCTCACATAAGGCCAAGTTGATTCACACAGTGGTTGTTTAGAGGGCAGACTGTTCCTGGGACTGGCCTAGGAGTACTGAATTTGGCCAAGGTTACTGCTGTTCAGAGAGGTACCAACTGACAGTTTTTTCACACACCATGTACCTTCTCACAACAATTGTGCTGACTCGGCTGTTTTCTTCTTCTAAAAAGAAAGAGGAGAAAAATAAATCAGTATCATCTACACCACAAATACGTAGAACCCAGCAGAGCCACAAGCCATCAGAGGCTTCTTTGCTGCCATCTCCATCGGGACAAAGTCCCTAACGAGGAACATATCCTATTTTCTCCTTCCATCCCCTTTCATAGCCCTGGTGATGGGATGCAATAGCCTGCTAAGTCCCCAGGAGCTCCAGTTTCTGCTCGAAACACTAGATGACTAGGAGGAGGTAGCAGGGGAAGAGCCCTCACTCCTTGGGCAGGTTCTCTGCCAGCAAATCCAGCCGCTGAGTTTGACCCTTCCAGCGAAAGGCTGCAAGGGCTCTGAAGGGATCTCTCCTGGGGAGAGGAAGAAGCCCTTCTTCGAGCCTCCCCAGTCCGAAACAACCCATGGTCAGGGAGTGTCTCAAGCCCAGGCCACAACCTACTGCAGCCTCCTCTGTACTCCCCACAAGGCGAGGACACAGCTCCGTTCCGTTCCTCTCTCCAGCCCCAGGTCTCTAAGAGACCAGACAGCCATAATGCAGAGACGAGCCCCATAATCACTGCTCAAAATGGCTCTCCCCCGCAGTAGCCTGTTCCATGGTCCTGCACATACCTTCTTCTTCTTCTTGTGAACTTCAGCAGAGCCATCTGCTATCGGCTCCCCTTCTGAAGATGCTTTTTTGCTCTTCTTCTTCTTTTCCTTTCCATTCTTTTTTTCTAGGAGAGAGAAAGAAGTTAACTAAGAGAGCGACTCTGCTAAAGCCAGCACTTGAGAAGCTGCTGCCTTCACCCGACGCTGGAGGAAAGTCTTGGTTAGAAAGGGGGCATCCCCAGCAGCTCCTTGACCACATCTCAACGTGAGCAAGCTTTCCAGAAGAGTAACTGTAGATGATAGAGTCCTGCCACACGGCAGTTGTCCCCAAGGCTGTTTCTCCAATACCCTTGAGCCAGAGTGGTTTGATCTCACCATGCATGCACAGTGTGGGCAGAATCACACAGGATCCCCTTCTTCCCACCTCCTGCTGTCCAGCCACTTTAAAGAATCGCTTCAGTGCTAGAATAGCTGGGCACATGCGAGAAATCAGAGCAAGGGGAGCTACCGACACAGGATGGACACACGACTCAGCTCAGTGCAACCGCTCCAAGAGCCTCCAGCTCACCTCCGTGCAACAGCCCACACAAGGGCTGACGGACAAGTCTGAGTCTCCTCCAAAATGAAGGGCTGCATCTCTGCAGAACAGAAACCCCAGCAGCTCTGTCCCACCCATTCCATCTTCTCTTTTATTTTGGGTAGCAAAAGCCTGCAAGAGCCAGCACAGAACCAGCTCTAATTTGCAAACGCAGTCTGCACTGCAAAGGAAAAAAAAAAAAAATTTCCTTTGCATTAGGGCAGCAAACAGAGCATTACACAGAGGCGTGCAGGGGCAGGAAGCACTCTTAATTAGGAGCAGTGAGCAGGAGGCTGGTACTATCCTCCCCTTTCTCCTGGGGTTTGAAAGCAGCAGTAATAACCCTGAGTCAAATCCCTCAAACGAGCGGCTCACCATGTTGCAACAGGAGGCACTGCAATTAGGCAGGGCCAGGGAAGGGGCTCTGTTGCCCTACAGGGAACAGCAGTGGCTTACGTGGCAGATGACAGCATGGATTTCAAGGCTGTTCTTTTTTAAAGATGCTGCCAGCGAGGGGCCATGTTCAGGCAGCTCTGACTAACACAAAAGCCTGTGCATATGAATGTTGGCCTTGATCTATCGTGCCCTCAGCTCATCAGGCTCAAGGGAGGAAACGGCAGTCTTCTGCCTGCCTTCCCCAGCCACATTGCACCTTGGTCGCCACTAGTGCGCGTTGCATTTGCCAAGCGGTACAGGCAACAGGTTTAGCACAGCAGACAGAAAGCAGGGCACCACGCAGAGCTCCAGGGTCTCCTCTGAGCACGCAGAAAACAGCCGCGAGGCTTCGTGGCTTGCAACTGGTGAGAACTTGCCCCAAGCACAGCACGGACGGAGGGCAGGCCACGTGTGGAGGGCACACAGGCTTCAGGAGCTTTCGCACAGACACGCTCAAACCACTGCCTGCCCAGAGCCAGAGCTGCTTCCAGCCATGGTAAAGGCCAGGAAAGGAGAAAGCCCTGGAGGGACAGGTCATGCCACTGAAGATACACAGGGACATCAGCTTGCTCTGCAAGCTGCAAGGATTAGCAGGACAAGTATGAGCATTATGCAATTCCCATTGTGCTGGGCAAAGGACAGAGAGGGGCAGAGAAGCCCAGCTTGCTGCCTGCACCACAGTTTGGTGATGAGACTGCAGAAAAAAAAACACTAAAGTGGGGGTTTGAAAATCTGCCACTGGCTTTGAGTGGGCCAAGAGGGTGGCAGCACCCAAGCAGGAAGTGAACTGGAAAGCAGGTGCTCCCTTACACAGCCCTGCACCAGAGGCTGAACACGCAGCAGCAGCAAGAACCTATTGCAAATGCAGCTCTCAGTGCTCACATGCTTACTTTTATTGGATTTTTTCTTCTCCTTGCTCCCTGGCAGCTTCTCCAGGTCACCAGTCGCTTTCTTCTTTTTCTTTTTGGGCACTTCTTCACTAGTTTGCCCTTTCCGCTTCTTCTCTTTGGGCTGCCCAACAGCCCCATCCTCTCCTGGCAGTTTCCGCTTCTGGGAGGCTTTCTGCTTCTTATTCTCTTTGTCCTTGCTCTTGGGTGTTTTCACAGCCTTGTCTGCTGTGGAGGAGGATTTCTTCTTTTCCTTCTTTTCTTTTTTCTCCTTCTTTTTTTTCTTCTTCTCTTCCAACCCACCCAGTGTTTGCACTGCAGGGATTTTGGCAGCAGTGGTAACCTCACTTTCACTCCCTGAGCTCGTCTCCTCTGACTCTGGGATGGAGAGGAGCGTGTATGACAACGGGGTTGCTTGCGTCCCTTTTGCTCCAACATCATTCTGCTTCACCGCTAGGGCTTTCTTGACTGGGGAAGCTTTGAGGCTGGCATGACTCAGTGCTGTCTTCCCTGCTGCCTTCTCTTTGCCAGAAGGTCCCGTGGCTTCCTGCCCTGGAGGGGGTTTGTCTTCTGCAGAAACAGTGATGAGAAAGATGACAAATGCAGGGAATTAAAAACAAACAAACAAAAAAAC